GCTGCGTAGGCTTTGTCGCTAGCATCACAAAACACATGCAGTTGTACCTTCTGAACCAGTGAAACCTCTGGAAAATAGTATCTGGGAATGGAGATAGGTGTTAGGCTCTGGAGTTCTATCAACCATTTCTTCCAAGTTTTAAAATGTTCTTCTGGTATCCTAGAATCCCAATCGATACTGGTTTTCCAAATTTCTTGCATCAACAGCCTCCCTTTTACCAATGAAGGTGCAAGAAAACCCAAAGGATCAAAAACAGACATAACCAGCCGGAGAACTTCTCTCTTTGTTGGGACCTTGTCTCCATCGATGATTTCCCGAGGAATCTTCTTCAGATTTAACGTGAAAATGAAGTCGTCTGATTCTGGTCTCCAGGATAGGCCTAGAACTCGCTCAATTTTCTCTGAATCGATCGTGTGTTGGGATTGTGATTCAGATCGCAAGTTCTCAGGAACTGCTGCAATAACTTTCTTGGAGTTACTTGTTCATTTCGTTATTTCGAAGCCACCCTGAGCATGAACATGAATGACTTCTGCTACCCGCTTCATAGCCTCTTCCTCGGTATCGCATGAGTCAAGATAATCATCTACATAGTGTTGTTTTTGGATGGATCTGGTTATGCCTGGAAACTGGTGCTCGAAGTCCATGGCATTCTTGTCATTGACGAACTGTGCCACCGAAGGAGAAGAAACAGCACCAAAAATCATGACATTCATTTCATATACATCAGGCTCCCGGTTTCTATCCTTGCCGCGCCATAGGAATCGCTGTGCACACCTGTCTTGCTCCCTTATTACAACTTGGTGGAACATTTCTCGAATATCACCGTTGAACGCAATTTTACCTTGCCTGAAACGCCAAAGAACTGAAACCAGAGGAGGGACATAGTCAGGGCCTTGCAACAAAAAGTCATTTAGACTGTAACCATGGGTCTTTGACGCTGCATCGAAGACGAATCTTAGCTTCCCAGGCTTATTGATATTGTACACCGCAAAATGAGGAAGGTACCAGGTCTTTTTATGATGGTGAGATGCAGCTGATGGTTCAAGGAGTCTTGCATAATGTTTCGCTCGGTATTCCTCGATTTTCTGACAGTATAGCTCTGCAAAGGCTTCATTTTTGTCCATCTTCCTCTCCATGCACAGCAACCTCTTCATAGCATTTTGATAGCTATCTGGCAGAATTTGGTCTTGATTCCTCCAGAGGTGTCCTATTTTGAAGCGATTTCCAACCTTCTCCAGAGTATTTTCCATGATATGGAGTGCTTTTTTATCTTCTGCTGACTTGATTATGGTATCTTTGGGATGTATACCAAAAGTCTCCAGTTTGAAACTATCTTTGATCAGAAAATGCAAATCTTCATCGTGAATTTGACGGCAGCACAGACTCACATGAGCTGATTCCTTACTGTATTCCGAAAGATGGATGGCTCCGTTGATCGTCCAACCCAACCTCGATTTCGACATGATCGGTTGATCAAGTTTTGGCTGAATAATCTGTCTTGGAACAATAAAGACCGCAGTTATCTTGTCCAATCAATATTTGAGGAGCTGCCAACTTCACAGATTCCAAAATTTCACGATCTAAGTAAGAATATACTCGTGCCACCTCGTCTACGTTTATTTCTTGACGTGGTAAGCTAAGATTCCTTACAGTTCTTACTTGATTCATTCTGTAGAACTCTGTAGATGTAGATGCAGAGATATCGACAGATATAATTTGGGAATCATCTTCAAAATGGGTTATTCCGTTGGCCCACTGGTAGCATAAAGGAAGGGTAGGTCCAGAGAGTCCAAGTTTGTCAGCTAACTCTTTGTCGATCATGGAGCATGTTGATCTCTCGTCGAATAGAGCGAAAGTTTGCACTTCCCCTGTAGGTCCCCTGATTTTAACTGGAGCGATCCTCAGGAGCACCATGTTATCTGCTACCGAAACGTTGGTACCACAAAAAGTTTGCTGTTCTTCTGTACATGACAAGTTACTCCTTTCTACATGAAGTAATTTATTGTGCCGTCCTTTGCAATTGTTTTCTCCACATCTGTTCTTGATAGGGCACCTTTTTGCTATGTGATCCTTCTCCAAACACAAGAAACAGAGTTTGAGATTCGCAACTGCTTCTCTTTTCTCAGCTACCGTCTTTTTCAGAAACCCACCTCATTCTTGGATGATATGGTTGGCGTTCTCACAGAAGACACACCCTGTAGATGTTGCAGAATGCTTCTCGTTGTTTTTTTTGCTTTGAAACCATTATACTTTCTTTCTTCGTGAAATTCTTTGGAGTATACCTCTGATTAAATGGATTGATGATTCCTGCTACCAAATTCGTCTCCTCTTCAAACCATTCTGCGAAGTCTTCTAAGGACATGGAAATTATTCTTTCGTGCTCTAATTGCAATTTGTATTTTCCCCAACTATGTTTGAGTATTGGAGTCAATTTTTCTACCAAAATTGCCAATAGTTCAGGGTTATGTAAATACAGATGCGAATTAACATTTTTCATTGTAGTAACCATGTTAGTGACTGCATTTGAGAATGTTATGTAGGAATCGAGCTTGTCATCTTTGATATAACTAAGCTTCCTTACTTTCTCCATCAATGATAAAATGATCCATTCCGTCCTGCCAAAATTCATCTCCAGCATCTTGATGATTTTAGTTACATTGGATGGAGAAGTCAGTAGAGCTCTGACTGTTTCCTTGGCCTTTCCTCGTAGAGATCTGTCTAGGCGAATGAGATTTTCTTCGTTAGACAATTCGTAGAGTTCAGTTGTTCTGTTGAACTCGCTGATGAAGATAGTCCATTCTGTGAGTTCCCCAGAAAAATGACTTAGATCTCGAAGTTTTTGACGGAGCAGTAACTTGTTAGTATATGATGTATTTTCTATACATTGTTTAGTAAATTCTACTAACTTTTCGTCCCTTTCTCTAACCTCCGGAACAGCTGATGAATTGTTGCAAGTACAGCCAGTAAGCGAAGAAGGACTTACAACATGATTATTTTTCACTTCTTTCTGGAGTTTCGGCAACGCAAGTTCAACTTCTGGATCGATATATTCAGCAGCAACCGAACCAACGTACTTTTTGGATTCTTCTACCCAATTTTCCAGAAATTGACTGTGATTCTTTAAACTGATCGATTGAATAGAAGTAATATCTGACCCATATTCGCCTTCAGTTTCCAAAATCTTCTTCTGCAGCTCCATTTCTCTAATCATATTTGCACGTTTTATTTCAATGGCTTTCAATCTTTCTTCCGTTTCTTCATCATCAAGTTTCTTTTTCTGTTTCAACATGATGAGTTCCAAATTTAATTTCGAAATATCTGACTTTTTTGAGATGACAGATTTTTTTGACTGAAGTGACTTTCTATGAGTTGCTGCTTTGACACTGGAGTCAACTATTATCATTTCGGTATTTGCTTTTCTTACGCCTTCATCTGCTGTTGATCGGCAATTCGCTGTCCCTGAATAATTATTTAAAGAAGCTGCACGAACTCCGTAACCTTGTGATTTCCTAGTATTTCCACAAGTTATACTAGAAAAAGGCACGTTATAACTGAGCTCCGCACTTTGCTCTCTTCCAAATCTTCTTGGTGGGATTCCCAAATTGCTTCTAGTACTTCTTCGCAGACTTTGAGGATCAATTTCACCAACTTTATTTTGTTCCATAGCGTGTTCGTATAGGATTGAAGGACCAATGTGAGTTTTCCAATAAAAGTCTTGAGAGATACTCGAAAACGGTTCAAAATATATTGCCAATAAATTCCGTGACAAAATTTTATATTGAGAAAACAAGTAAGTAACGACTCTCGAATAACAAACTCAAAGAAATCATGGCACTAGATTACAATAATTTTGAATGACATATTATGACAAATATATATACTGGACGATGAATCTTCTACAGTCTACAGGAGGCACAAACGTTTTCAATGCGCCTTCATACAAACCATAAATAAGTGGAAATATACAAATATTCTTTTTTATTATAAATTATTCACATTGCCACGAGAAAAGCTGAAACAAAACAAAATGAAAATTAAATAAATATTGATTCTTATAGTAATATCACAATACTATCAGGAATACATAAAATGAAATACAAAATAACAATCCATTTCGAATGGATATTATATAAATTATCTAAAATTGTCTTACAGACATTATAAACTTCACAAAACAAAATCAATTCTCCGTGGTCCCATTTGTTTCAGGAGTGAGAGGACTTTAGGGTCAACATTGACTTCTCGGTGGATATTTGAATTGGCTAGCCCATTCAACCTTCTCTCTCCAACAGAATTTCTTAAGGGTATGTCCATAACGGCGCACCGCACATAGTATCGTACCATAGTATCGCATCGGCCTCGCACATAGCATTGCCTTCGAGTGTCCATATTGACGCACCGCACCTAGCATTTCCTTGCAGTTTATTTTCCACTCCTGACGAAGCAACAAGGTAAACATGAGTTCTTCTTCATCTTCGTCAGATGAAGATGATATCGTGCTCAACTCTAGTATACACAAGTGGCACTTTATTAAAAATGAAAGAAAGAAAACAGTACATCCTGTAAATAAAAAACGAAGTCAGTTTGGTGAATACCATCATCTTTTTAACGATCTAAGAAAAGACAAACAGCGTTTTTTTGAGTACATGCGAATGAATATAGATACATTTGACTATATTGTACTCAAAATTGGCGATAAAATGAATATATCGTGGCAGAACTGTCATGCTCAGCCCATAACAACTGAAGAAAGACTGATGTTAACTTTGCGGTAAGTACAATTAACTTTATTAAAATAAGTAGTACAAAACTTGACAATAATCACAAGTTCTCATACGTTTGGGTGCCTGTTAAGTCATAGTGGGGCTCTCCAGAAAAGCTTTGTAGATGTACACCAGAAACACCTGGACTGATACTCGTGCCTGGTTCTGCGTTACCAGCAGAGCGGAAAGGTTGGGAAAAAATTTGTTGACTTTGACGACTATCATGAACTATATTACCCGGGGTGACACTTTCACTTTGGGAACTTCTACCATAATGAGTAAATGGAGATCTTTGTTGAACATACTGTCTTGATGGTTGTGTAGGAATTTCATTGTCTACCAGCTGCAAAACTTGTATGCGGAATCTCATTTTTTGTTTTGGGTTCATTGCCCTGACGTGTGGAAGTATGCTCTGAAAAAATGCTTCGTCTTCGTCCACTACCTTTTCTTCTCTTTTGCTTCTGTTCTCCTCTTTTCTTTTTAGGTATGCAATTTTTTCTTGTTCTGCCTTTAGTAATGCTTCCCCAACAGCATCGGTTGTTTTAGCTGTTTTTCGCATTTTTTGTTTTTGAAGTACTGGAGCGGCTGAAGTTTTATGTTGTGGGGTTGATGAGCCCGTCGTTGGTGTAGGAGGCTCTGAATCAATGTCGCTTCCAACCTCGTCCATGCTATTCACTTCACATGTCTCTTCAGTATCTTCATTATTGGACATATCAAAATTGCCAGTTGAATGTCGTGGCACACACTGGTCTTTTAAAAATAGAAGTGAGTCAAAATATTGCCAAGTAGGTTTTTCGTCGTCTTCGTTTTCAACTCCATCCCCTGAACGCTTCACTGGCATTTCCGTCAGTTTCTTTTTGAAAGTTTCCCTGAGTCGTTTCCATTGTGCTTTGGCTAAGGTTACTGAAAAAAATAAGGATTTTTGACTTATTATATCGAACAAAACATTTTTGTTGCAGATATTTTTCAACTGGCATATCATTCAGAAGTTTGGCATATTCATTTCGCATGGGGAAAAGCACAGTAGCCAATATTGTTTCGGAGATTTCAGATTATGTTTGGGACTCATTATACAAAATCCATATGCCCATGCCATCTAAACAAGATTTTCGGCAAATAGCGACGGATTTTTATGAAATTTGGAATTTTCCTAACTGCGTCGGAGCACTAGATGGGAAACATATTCGTATGCGTTGTCCAAACAACTCTGGATCAATGTATTTCAATTATAAAGGGTATTTTTCCATCGTACTTCAAGCTCTCGTTGATGCAAACTACAAATTTATCAATATTGAAGTTGGAGGCTACGGTCAACAAAGCGACGGTGGTACATTTAAAGCATCTGCTTTATATAAAAAACTGATCAGTGGAACATTAAATTTGCCTGAAGATAGTCGTCTACCAAATTCGATTTTGATTATGCCTCACGTAATAATAGCCGATGAAGCTTACCCACTGATGAGAAATTTACTAAAACCATATGGTAAACAAGAATTAAATGAAGATAAGGAATATTTTAATAAACGCTTATCCCGTGCTAGACGAACAGTAGAATGTGCTTTCGGCATTCTGAGAGCAAAATGGCAGCTTCTAGATAAACCTATACTGACCAGTGCTTCACATGCAGATAAAATAATCAAGGCAATTTGTGTTTTACACAACATAATTATTGACAAGGAAGGAATGGAACATAATCTACGGGACATTCAATCTACTTTTCGAAATGAAAACATACAAGCAGCCGCAGGAAGACCAAACAATGAAGCAAAATATATCCGAGAAGCTTTTACAAATTTTTTTTGTAATAATCCTATTTAGTCGAATCAATAAATCCTAAAAATCAACAAAACTTCTTAATTTTCTGGACCACCCTGTATTTGTCTGGCTCCAAACGTTTGCCCAACTCCTGTATACAGATTAGAACAAATACATAGTGGTCCATCAGACTATGCATCGCCCTGTATAAATATTTCCGAAACTTAAAATGTAGGTATCTGGATATGAATATTTTTGCAGATAAATACAAATTATCAAAATTACAGCTGTTGCTGAGAACTCAGTCAACTAATTTAAAAAATAATTCAAACCTTACCTGTTGTGTTACATTCACTTGCAACTTCTTTCCATAATTTTGTCAAAATCAAACTATTATGATGATGTTTGCTGGTTTTGTCCCAAATTGCCTCTCGTATGAAGATACAGGTAATTAATTTTTCTTTATCCATGATGATGCTCTGTGCGAGGGTCAAAGAATACTAAGCTCGATTTCACGGTGCGATACTCTGGTACCAGGCTATGGTGCGAGGCGCAGTGCGGTGCGCCGTTGTGGCCACCCGTATTTACCTACATAATAACATTTGCTTGGCACTCGGATGCTAGGGTACGATACTATGGTACGATACTATGTGCCGTGCGCCGTTATGGACGCCCACTTAGATAGGTTTTTAGCCGTCGTAAGGTAGAAAATGATCGTTCTGCAGTACTTGTCGAAACGGGTAACGTGGCAAAAAAAAGAACAAAAACACTAGGAAAAATATCAGTTGAACACATGTTTATTGCATCGTATGGATTTTTAGGAACTTGGCCTTCATAAGAAATAAATTTTTGATACCAAAGTCGAAGTTCTGCTTCTAATATGGCATCATTTGGTTCATTTATGTCGTTTTCATAAAAACCAGCCAAACTAATAAATTCTTCTGTTTGCTTCTTTGTTGCAACTTCACCATGAATTTAGCAATAACTGCCTTATGTTTGGTGAATCTTCTTTCTACACTTGACAAAAAATAATCAATCCAGGGTAAAAATATTGAAATCTTATAATATTCCACACAACTCTCTATATATTGGGATTCGGTCTATGAGCTTGCCTCGTGGAATTGTTATTTCTGTGCCCAACATATCTGCCTTCAGTTTGGCTTGTTCAAAAATTTCTGAAAATTCTCTATCTGCATTGTTGCGTATGTCTCTGATTGAAGATATTAAATCTTCGGCATTATTTAGGGCAGATGCAAGATCTGTGTTTTCTAGCTGAAGAATTTTGCATAGTGGGAGACTGAAAGCCAAGAGTTTTTGCATACATAACAGGGAAACTAAAAACTCGGGCTGCTTCAAAGCACTAAGTAGCATTGATGCATTTGAGCTGGTATCTTTATCAGCCCACAGAGAGATTTCCTGTAAAGATAATACAACAGGTTCCAATAATTCATTCATGACCATGACCGAATCATGACGTTGTATCCAACGGGTAGGGCACATTTGTTTTAATTTTTCCTTACGGGATTCTGGTAATGTTGCATGGACATTCTTTTGTAGCACGAACTGCCTTTTGGGTGTATTAAAAAAAGAATACACTTTTCCAATTATTCCTTTACAATTTGAGCTGTCTGCTCATACTAGCAGCTCCATCATATCCTTGGCCACGTAAATATAAAATATTAATATTCAGTGAATTAATAGTATTGATTATGACATTTGCAAGGCTAGCACCTGTCATAGATTCAGTTGGAACAAATTGCAGAAAATGTTCACAGATGACATATTTCCCATCTATATTTTTCAAATATCTCACACAGAATGAACATTGTTCAGTACACGACATATCCGTCGTTTCGTTAAAAAGTATTGAAAAACATTTCACTGCATTTACTTCATCGCAAATTTTCTTTTTGATTATAATATCACAAGCTTCTATTATTTCATTTTGTATTTTCCAACTTGTATATGTTGCATTGGCAGAACAAATTTGAAAATGTTTATTCAGATGCACATCCCCAGAATCAATTCTGGCTCTTAATAATGCACGAAAATTACCTTCATTGTCCTCTGGTTCCTTTTCTATATCAAACATACCTGTATCTCTATGACCCCGCAAAGGCAAACCTTGTCTACCACATAATATAATTATTTTAATTATGGGAATTAATCTTTCTTGATTAGCTTGAACTTGCCGAGCTCTTGCTGTATCAACTTGGTTTTCTATTGATGCAGTTTTTCCAGAACTAACATTGAGAAAATTATCAGCCTTTATGACAGCTGTCCGGTGGTACTGTAAATTTTGATGATGATGTTGGAAGTGTTCTACAGCCTTTTTCCAGTTTCTATATGGATTAATAACAAGCTGACCCACATTCTGTGATGAAACATTTCCGACTTGTTTAGGAGAAAATAGAAAACAGTATTTACAGTAAGCTCCATCTTCAGTTTTAGAATATACCAGCCAAGTTGAAGTTTCTAGCCAGCTGTGGTTGAATTTCCTCATCCTATCTCCAAATTTTGTACCAGGAAAATCAAAATGTTCATCTGGAACCCACAAGTTTTTCAAAATATTTTCTTTATCAGCATCAGTACAGTTAAGCATTTTAAATATACAAATATCTTTATGTTCTGTAAAGCTGTCAGAGGTGCTCGAACTGCTTGAAGGTGCAGATGTGGCTTTTAAACCCGTCAATTCTGCATGATTATGGTTATCATCCGATGTTGAGGCAGATCCTGATGATGGAGGCTTTTTTTTTTTGAAAAAATTCAATAAAGTCATTGCCTTTCTTTTTCGCTGCTCACTCACAGTGGCGTAGCGAGAGGTGTCGGGGCCCCGGTGCAACGATGATTGTTGGTGTTATATATATTATTATTTAGGAACCTATGGTATAAGAAAAATATGAGGATCTGTGGTTGTTGATTGTCAGGGATTGTCAAATAAAGATTTATATGAAAATACGAGTTTTGAAAATAAATAATAATAATTATAACATGGCGCAGTCGATGCAGTAAGAACCTTCGGAAGAAATATTGACTATGGCTTTAAATTTCAATATTCCACCACCACTCCAGCTGTATGGAAATTTGAAGGAAAATTGGTTAAGTTTCAAACAAGCTTTTCAAATATATCTTGTCGCATCTGCTTTCGATAAAGAAACGAAAGAAAGGCAAGTAGCAATATTTCTGAATGTTGTTGGACAAGAATCAGTGAAGTTATTCAATTCATTGAAGTTGGAGGACGAGGAGAAGAAAGACATAGATGAAGTTTTGAAAGCATTTGAAGAGTACTGTTCACCAAGAAGAAATATACTTCATTCAAGATTCATTTTCTACAGTAGAAAACATGATGAAATGGAACCATTTGATTCATACCTAATGGACATAAGGAGGTTGTGTCAAGATTGTGAATTCAAAGATCCAGATGATATGCTCAGGGACAAAGTGGTTCTGGATTCAAGAGATCGTGAATCACAACAAAAGCTCATAAAGAAAGGGTCAGTTACTTTAAAAGAAGCTATAGACACAATTAGATTAGCTGAATTAGTAAGAAAACAAACAAAGGAAATTCAAACTTCAGAAATCAACAGAATAGAGAAGCAAGTAACACCAACAAAGAAAGAAGAAAATGGAAATTCCAATCAGTCGGGGATGAACATCAGCAAATCATACAGGAATACGGAAAACACCAATTATTTCAAGAAACCACAAAGTAATTATCACTCTTCGCGAAAATGTTTCAGGTGTGGATTATCCCATAAATATAAACAATGCCCAGCCTTTGGAACAAAATGTAAGAAGTGTAATTATATGAATCATTTCAGTTCTGTATGTAAGAATATAAATGAAATAACTTCAGAGCAAACAATCCCAGAAATTGAAGATGATTCATATAATCATTCTGATGAAAATGACTATTACTGTAGTTCAGTTGAAATGAATTCTAATGATTATTGGAATGTTACTTTGACAGTTGAAAATGTAGATATCAAATTCAAAATTGATACAGGGGCAGATGTCAATATAATTCCTTTGAGATATTTGAATCAAATTGAAAATTTCAACAACAAAAAATTTACTTTCAAAAAATCGATGCAATCTTTGGAAGCATATGGTGGCTATAAAATAGATGTATGCGGTGAATTGATTTTCTCAGTATTTTATAAAAATGTTTACTTCAAAATCGAATTCATCATAACTAATACAAATTCTAGACCGATTCTGGGGCTCAAAAGTATACAAAAACTTGGTTTGATACATAGAACTGTGGATGATTTGGAATGTAACTCATTGTTCAGAAATAAAATCATACAAAAATATTCAGATGTCTTCGATGGCAAAGGGGTAGGAACTTTCAAAAATGAATATAAACTGAAGTTGAAAAATAATGTACAACCTACAAGTAAATCACCCTACAGAATTCCTCTGAAATTAAGAGAGGATGTGAAAATAGAACTTGACAGATTGGAGAATATGGGCATAATAAAAAAATGTTCGGAGCCGACAGAATGGGTACATAGGTTAGTCATAGTTGAAAAACCAAATAAAAAATTAAGATTATGTCTCGACCCCAAAGATTTGAATGATGCAATAGTGAAGGATTATTACAGCATTCCAACAATGAATGATTTGTGTTCTAAAATTAAAAACTCCAAGTATTTTTCAGTTTTAGATTTGAAGGATGGTTTTTGGCAGATATCATTGAATGAGGAAAGCCAAAAATTGTGTAGTTTCGGAACGATGTTTGGTTGTTATTCTTTCAAAAAACTACCATTTGGTTTGAATATATCCGCTGAAATATTTCAAAAATATAATGAGAATATGTTTGGAGATATTGAAAATGTGTTTATATATTTGGATGATATATTGATTTTTGCAGATTCTTTGGAACAACATGATATAATTCTGGAGAAAGTTTTGTCGAGGGCTAAAAATAATAACATCAAATTTAACAAAACAAAATTCCAATGTCGCGTTAATGAAGTTAGGTATTTAGGTCATAAATTCACTGAAGGTACAATGAGGCCTGACGAAGACCGTATAAAATCTATATGTGAATATGATATGCCTCATGATAAAACTTCTCTTCAGAGATTTTTGGGTATAATAAATTATCTAAGAAATTTCATCATAAATTTATCAGAATTATCGAGTCCTTTGAGGGAACTATTGAAGAAAAATGTAATTTTTCAATGGCTAGATACGCACACAAAATGTTTCAATATGCTCAAATCTATAATTACTTCGGGTCAAGTACTTCAAAATTTTGATACTTCGAAAGAGATAGTTATTCAAACTGATTCAAGTAAAACGGGGATAGGTTGTGTACTTCTCCAAGAAGGAAAACCAGTATGTTTTGCTTCTAAGAGCTTATCAGAAACTGAAATTAGATATGGTCAAATTGAAAAAGAATTCTTGGCGGTGCTATATTCTTGTATCAAATTTAATCATTATATTTATGGAAGAAAAACTACAATACACACTGACCATTTGCCATTGGTGAGTTTGATGAAAAAAGAAATTAATAAAATTCCATCTAGTAGATTGCAACGAATAAGATTGAAATTGATGAGATATGATATAAACCTAGTGTATAAACCAGGAAAATTAATGTTTATTGCTGATGCAATTTCCAGAGCTTGCTCAAAAGCAGATAAAACAAATACAGATTCATGTTTGAGTGATGTTGTCCACACTATCAATATGAGTAATGCATACAAAACAGAATTCCAGAAAGAGACTGAACTTGATCCAATTCTAAAAAAAATTATTGAGTATTATAATAATGGTTGGCCAAATTCAAAATCTCAGGTAGATGAAATGTTGAAATTTTTCTTCAATAAACGAAATCAGATTTTTGTTGAAGATGGATTGGTGTATATGGAGGATAGGATAATGGTTCCTTTTCATTTGAGACAAAAGGTATTGAAAAATTTACATGAGTCACATTTTGGTATATCGAAAACAAAAAGTAGAGCAAAGTCATTATTTTATTGGCCTAGTATGGACAATGACATTGAAAATTATATCACTAAGTGTGGAATTTGCGAGAAATACCAATCAAGGAATGTGAAGGAACCTATGATTATACAAGAATCACCTTCATATCCTTTTGAAAAAATAGCATGTGATATCCTGGACTTTTCGGGTATATCATATTTAGTCCTCATAGACTATTTTTCAAAATGGATAGAACTCGTTAAATTATCATCCAAAAATTCCGGTACCATTATTAAGTCTTTGAAAACTATATTCTCAATTCACGGAATACCCAATATACTAGTCGCAGATAATATGCCTTTCAATTCATTCGAATTTAGAAATTTTAGTAAGGATTGGCAATTTGAAATAAAAACATCAAGCCCATATTATCCGAAAAGTAATGGCCTTGCAGAAAAAGCTGTCGGTATCTGTAAAAATATACTGAAAAAATCAATTGAGGGTAACATAGACAAAGAAATTATGCTTTTGGAATATCGAAATATGCCAGTCACTGGACACAATTATTCTCCAGCTCAAATTCTATTCAGTAGAAGAACAAGAACTAAGTTACCAATAAAAAATAATCTATTGAAACCTGTTATTATTGAAAATTTCACAGAAACATTAGACAAAGTAGCCGAAAGAAATAAATTTTATTATGATAAGAATTCAAAAAGAAAAGTATGCTCATATGGTCCCGGTGATAATGTGGTATATAGAAATAACAATAGGTGGGAACCTGCGAAAGTAATCCAAAATCATACTGCACCACGATCAGTTTTGATTGAGGATGAAAATGGAAGAGTAAAAAGGAGAAATAATTTTGATATACGAAAATCAATGAATGTACCTTTTTTTTGTATGAATGGGAATGAAGATGATAATTTAGAAAATGATGTTGAGCATGGAAGTTCACAAAAGAATGAAAGTTCTAGTGAAAACATAGAAAGTGAAAATATTGATATCAGTCCAGATGAAAATGTTGAGATTGGTAATTTTCCGTCTACATCTGGAATGCCACCATCTGAAAATACATTTTATCAGACACGATCAGGAAGGACATCCAAACCTCCACAGAGGTTTGAACATATTAAGTGAAACATATTTGCTTTCCTGAAAAAAGGGAGATGTTATATATATTATTATTTAGGAACCTATGGTATAAGAAAAATATGAGGATCTGTGGTTGTTGATTGTCAGGGATTGTCAAATAAAGATTTATATGAAAATACGAGTTTTGAAAATAAATAATAATAATTATAACAGTTGGGGCCCTATAGTTCACCGAGAAATTTCCCCATCCCTAGAGCGGAAGGTACCTAGTTGATGATAAGATTGAACAAAGAAACAATGACGTATAAAGGTGTATATATTTTGTTATTTAACTATATAACTTCAGAAATAAAAAAAACTAAAAGTGATTATATCACACAGAAAAACGAAATACAGTAATTCAGTAGGTACCTAATTAACATTTCTATAGATCATTCGTGTCTGACAGTCTGATACAAAATAAATAAATAATAAAAAAACTCAAAGATAAACTCCAAAATAAAAAACATTAATAATAATCAGTCTGATGATACTTTACGTTCAGCCTCATTATTAACAGCCACTGGTATAAGAATATGTCGAAATTGTATGCAACAAAATGATTAAGAACTAAAAATTCCTTTTACGTGTTTTTGCATTCGCAAAATTGTTGACCAAATCAGTTATATCCATTTTTTATGCCTGTGATGATTCAATTGATAAGAGAGCTAGCTGAGATAACCTATTCTAGTCCATTGTTGAACGTAAATAATTTTTTATCAATTTTAGTTTGCTGAAAGAACGTTCTACATTGGCAACCGTCACGGGTAATGTGAAGAATAATAAAAAAGCCATGTATACTTGAGATAAGTCACATTCTAATATTCCAAATTTCTCAATGACTATCTCAAAATGCTGTCTGATACTCATCGACTCATTCAGATGACATTTTGATAAGGTAATAAGATGAATATATTGAGATACCAGAGAGTGACTAACTATTTCGGAATATTTTTGATGAAATTTTTCACACTTTTCAATAATAATCAATTCGGTATTGTTCAGAATAGTCTTTGGCAGCAGAAAATCGAAATATTCTTGAACTTTCCGCATTCCAACAAACCTTTGCAATAACTGCCCATTAACTCGATCAATCACATCATAAAAAACATTAACTTTGAATTTCCCTTCAGAGTTTTCGAATCTATAATCTTTGGTAGCTAATTCGTCAAAATGTCTTTTATGAATAACTTGCCTCTTTTCTGTGAAAATTGGGTCTATATTCCACTTTCTAGCCAATCCCGAAGCTTCCAATTTGATTTCCTCATATGATTCTCTCAATTTGAGTATCTTATTTTTTACAGCTTCCAGAACTGAAACGGCATTGTTTAAATCAATATCATTTTTTTGCAACATTTTCGATGCAAAGTTAGTTAAACATAAAATTTTGTACATAAAAACTGTGATGAATACAAATTCGAAAGATTCCATTTTCTTCCTAATGACAAGAGCCTCGTCCCTCTCATCTTTTTTCTTAGATTTCAGTATAATATCGGTTAGACGTTTGAGAATGTCAAAAAATCGAAGTTTCACTGCCAATAAAGATGATATTCTTCCTGACCAACGGGTAGGATTCAATTTCTTCAGAGCAATCTCTGACTCATCTGTGAATGATGACAAAAGATCCCAGCGTTTGATACTAAGCCCAAAAAACGTATAAATACTTTGCAAAGTGGAAAAGAAATTGGTAACTTCGATACATCCTGAAACAGCGTCATTCAAAACCAAATTCAGATTATGACTTGCACAATGAATGTATTCTGCATTTTTCTGAATCTCCTTGATTTTGGACTGAACACCTTTATACCCTCCGCTCATGACGCTGGCTCCATCATACCCTTGTCCGTAACATTTTTCAATAGGAATGTTTAATTTCTTCAATATTTTCTGCACTGCATCCACCATACCCTGTGCAGATTGATCTGTGATTTGAAAGAAACCCAAAAATGTTTCCTTTATTTCGAAATGAGTAACAATCATTGAGTCATCTCTGACTAAGTGCACAGTTCTTATGGTGACACTTAGTTGGTCGGTTTTTGATATGTCTTGAGTAGTATCAAGTAGCAAGGAAAAACAAGGTACAGAGTTTATTCTGTTCGTTAATTCATCGAGAAGATGGTTTGATAATGAATATATCAGCTCATTTTGAATGGTTGGACTCAGATATCTAACTGAACCAGATGGCATCTCCAATACTTGTTTCATAATGTCATCATAATCAGCCAGTAGGTGTACAAGTGCTAGAAAATTACCATTATATGAATCAGAATTTTCTCTGTGTCCTCGAAATGGTAGTGCATTCTGAGCCAAAACCAATGTGATCTTGAACAGGCGTTGTAGGGCCATTTTCCAGAAAGATGTTTGGAATCGCATTTCACTCTCCAAATTTTTATCGATGGTTTCATTTTTTTCCCATAAATTATATACTGCACATGCCTGAATATGAGAAATAGACTTGCTATGTTCACTGATACGTGTCGATAAATGCTGCCAGCGCCTGATCCCAATTTTCCATGTGTTTGTTGTTGTAGAGAATAGCCAGCATGGTTCGCAATATGCTGCATCTAGTATACCAGAATAGCACAACCACTTTCGAGGTACAGGACCATACTTGGTTGTAGAAAAATAATAAGATTTATTGAAGGAACGGTAATCTTGAGACGGATCTTTTGGAAATGGTCCTTCTGGTCTATTAGACGGCAGGTTCACTATTTGTCTTTTTATATCATCGGAAATATCTATATCTCTATAATATCCGAGATCTGTGGATATAATATTTGTTTTCGGTATATCAGTTACATTTTGGGCATCGTGTTTGAGTATTACTTCTTGTGTTTGTACTGTGCCTGATAACTCTGTCTCATCAATACTAATATCTTCATTAGTTCGACTAATGTCTGCTCCATCGATATTTTTGTTGTTGCTCGTTGATGCTGAGGCGTCATTACCTATGTATTTCTTTTCAAAAAAATTATCAATTTTTCTTATTTTGTTGATTTCTTCTTTCCTTTTCGCCTGAAGTTTTCTCTTTTGAGAGCCACTTATAGATAACTTCTCTTGTCTTCCATCATGAATATCGATTTGAAACACTACAAATTAATCAATCGTCAAAATAATCTTATAAGTGAACGTTATATGAGTAAGTGCCAGTTTATGGAATATAGAATGAAACGAATATCCGAACATTTTTTGTTAACTCACCAGCTTCAGTAAACAATCTTCGAAATCACACGTTACAAATACACACCGCGAAATTTTTATTCCCGACTCCCGACCAACTTTAACCTGCAACGAAGTAATCATAATAGACACGAGATCTTGACCATCGCGACGCCGTCTTTTTGGGGTGCGGGAGTGGGAGTGCATATGAATCTTAATAAGTATAGCTATTGCCAGTATTGCATGATATTTTTTTTTTCACCCCGTTATAGTGGCATTAGAGGCAACAAACGGCCGAAAAGTTTCGCCACGTTCATGTATTAATTTGCACACCAATACTTTCTTGCATTATACCTGCTAATGCAGATTGGGACATAGGGGCCCCTCCGGGGCCCCAATGCCCCGGGGCCCCGGTGCACCGCACCGAACTGCCCGTCCATAGCTACGCCACTGCTCACTCATTGTAACAACTATAACCAGACTGAAAACGATGTAACTACTAATCAAATGCTAAAAGGGATTAAAAATTATTCTATTATGACTTACCTACCTTCAACTTTGGAAGATAACCACTATGAACGACTGAACGAGACAGAGAAAATAGGTAATGAAAATGATTTGTGAATTGTGTACTCCACAGTGAGCTCACTAGTCAAGACTAATCCATAGTTACGTTACGATCACCTACTAGGCCTACGTCTACGAGACTATTAAATCATTATTACAGACATGCAGTAACTTGCGCTTGCAGGGCGTTCGAGCGTTGTCAGCTTGTGTCATTTGTGGTAAGATGTAAGATGAAAAGATGAAAACGTTTCTTTCGGTAGTTATTAGTCAGTGTGAAGAAAATGGAACAATATCGATTGCTCTGGGGGGGCACTGGCCCCTGGTGCCCCCTCTTGGTTACGTATCTGGTTCCCGGGCACCCCCCTTGTGACCTGGAACCCATACTAGTTCGACTTCCTTCAGTTCAGCTATATAGTATCCCAAGAGCATCGCCACATTCCTGCACCAAAGCCGAGCTTGGTTTGGGATGGCAGATAGCCTTGAACGCCGCCTGACTATCCGACCAGATGTAAATCTTCTGGTCCCTCTTTCACCTCTTGTCCTGCTTATGCTACGGCTAGAATCGCGAATACCACAGCCTGAAAAACTGTAGTGTATTTTCCTAGAGCTCAGTTCTCTCTTATACCTCTTCCTTCTGGGTAAATTCCTGCACCTGAGTCATATGTTTGTCAGTTTGGCGTGATGCATCCGTGTAACACACTAGACTCCCTGGCGGAAAAACAACTCTGTTCTCTTCTCATTGCTCCCTGCTTAGAATAGTAAGGGTGAACCATCTTCTATTTTCCATCTCAAGTCTGTTTTGAGCGTTCTTTGCTCTTAGGGTGAAGATAGCGATCTCCTGCTCCACCCATTTTGCAATTACCGAGTGATCTGTCACTCTTTCTTAATAGATAGATAGATAGATAGATAGATAGATAGATAGATAGATAGATAGATGGATATTTATTTCCCAAGATAACCATTTACAATTTTCAATACAATAAGTTGTCTTAATAAAATATTAACAAAATTATCAGATGCCATATAGGCTTGGGGAAATGGTTGCCGTCTATTTCATTATAATTAAATATATTGATAATTATTAGCTTCAGTAAAAACTTACAAGAAATAATAATAGTGGATACAAGTAATTTAACCTTAGAGAACATTATGAATTAGCGAGCAAGTTGTTATTGAAGAATTCTGTGGTGTCGTAAAACACATGGATTTTCTTCAGCTCAGATTCAAATTTCCTAACTGTTACTACTCTTCATGCATTCTGGGAGATAATTATACATCTGGATTCCCATATATAGAAGACCGTTTCGTGTTCTATTATATCTATAGTTTGGCAATGTGAGTGATTGATTGCGTGTGGCGTAAGAATGTTTGTCCGAAGAGCGGGTCAATTTGGAAGTGTTTTTATGTATCAACAGAGATACTTTATAAATATAAAGGGAGGTGAGTGTAAATATTTCGTGATTTTTGAAGTGATCGCGACATGAATCTCTAGAGCTCAGACCAAAAAGTGAACGGATGGCTCTCTTTTGAATACTGAAAGTGGTGCTCGACTGAACAGCAGTGCCCCAGAATTCGATTCCATACTGTGATTACTATGAAAGTGAGCATAGTACACTGATTTAGCTACTTTCAGATTGGTACTCAGTTTGATAGTTCGCAAGACGAATGTAGCTTTGGATAATCTATTATTCAATTGATTTATGTGTTCAGCCCACGATAATTTTTTGTCAATTGATATTCCCCAAAAATTTGGTCGAATCTTGTGAATTAAGTGGTGTTTCATTTAGAGTTATCTCGATGTTTGAGGTGTTAGCATATAGGCTAAAGAGTATGAAGTGTGTTTTATTGATGTTGAGGGAAAGCTTATTTGCTAGGAACCAATCGAAAATGTCATTCATAATTTCCTGAACTGTATTTTGTAGTAGTTTGCTATTTTTCTCGTATCAACTAATACTGATTGAAAGCGGCAGCCTCAGCAGTACCTCCAGCGTTACAGTTGTTTCACTTGGTTTTCGACCAATTGTGCCGCTGATGTGTATAGCCAGCTCATAGTGTCGGGGTTAATACCCCAAGTATTCCCAACGACCCTTCTTATTTGCCAAAGGATTGCCTCCGACTTTTGCACATCTTATCTATGTGTAGCCTCCACGAGAGTGTGGGGTCCAAGACGACACCTAGATATTTTACCTGTTGGACTTATTCCAACTCTTGCCCAAACATGGTAGGTGGTTTGAACCCGTCCTTTTTCTTTCGTTTGGTGAATAGGAACCAGAGTAAATCCTAACCATAGACAGTCCTCATCAAGGACTAAATGGTGTTCCTGTTTATTTTCATAGGCCCAAAATTTGTAAAATTTTCATGAATTATTTTCACTTATGTGAATAAACTTCTATTCTATTCTTCCCATTTTTTTGTCGGATTGACAGAGCCCTGCTTGAGTGCTTGATCACACCATCTTTAGATTACCCTGCAGGATATCTGCGATCACAGCCGACCCCCTAGGAATCGGCAACTCCCCAAGACCAATCCATCGTCTGCGTATGTCTGCGCCTCAAAACCTTCATGAGTAAGCCTGCACAAGATTTCATCCATGACCAAGCACCATAGGTTGGGAGAAAGGCAACTTCCCTGGGGACATCTCCCACCCACTACCGTACTAAACCGATTTTTTTAACGCCTCGACACCCTTTTACCGCTTACTAAAACGATTTTTTTGACGCCTTGACACTGTTACCACTAACTAAACCGATTCTCTCAACGCCTCTACACGTGTTTCGATAACCTCAGCATCTTTAGGAAAAGATTAAAACTGAATATCTCATTCTAATGTGCTGCATATGCTATAGATATGTCCACCCAACCGTTAAAGACACTAACAGCGAAGTTAATGTCTGTCATAATTGAGTTCACACGTTAACCTTAATCCTATATCACTAAACTACACAGAGGGCTATATGGAGTAGGTCCATCATCCTTATTCGTAACATTATTATTCTCAAATATTTATAGGCTTTTGTATGCATCTGATTTTCTAACGTTATTAACTTACTTGACTAATTTGAGGTCATTATAATGTGTAATGTGACAATTGTTTTTTGCTCGACAGAGGAGATAATTTTGAGTAGTATATTATCAGAGAAAAACAAATAAAATCGCCCTTTATAGGAATACGAATAAAGGGTGGGGGTGGACCAAATTGTAGCACACTGTATGTTTTATCCCAATCATTATAACTGATATCGTATATTTCTGACTTCGGGTTTCAGGTATTGGTTGGAGTTTTTAAAACTTCATATAGGTAATCTATATGAATATCATTAGCTTGAATTCATCGAAATTATTACATTATATCATGTTTCATCATTGATGTGTACCCATATACCAACATTTTTGGAATTATTCACTAACCTCAAATCTATGCATATGCCGAAATGTTCTCAATATAAACAAGCATTTTTTTGACTATCATGAATGAACCTTTCAGGCTTTCACCTTTCTTGGCTGAAATGTTCATGAATCGGTTCGAAGCGAACGCAAAAGAAAAATTCGAGTGTTTCCCTATATTATTACCGTTCTTAGATGTTCTTGTGATCGATCAAAAATGGCGAAAACAATTCGTCAACTCTACTATCCATTCTCAACTTCAATATTCCACGTGTGGCATCTGGATCCCAACTGCTATTCCACATTGGGATTCCACACACTCTTCATCACTTTCGCTGTCCCATCTCTACAAAGGTGTCGTAGTTATAATAACTTAGGCAACGTAGATATATTCTTTTCTAGCCTACCACATTTCAAATTAATAATAATAATTTTATGTGTTATCTTTGTTATTTAAGTACATTTTCTTCTCACTGTTTTTGTAATGGACCTATGTGATCATGTTCGCAATAGACATTATGTACATGAACATGTAATTGGGTTTTCGAACCCGCTGGATGTATAAAATGAATGAATGAATAAATAAATAAATAAATAGAAGATAGTCGTTGCCTACCTTTATTGCGTACCAAGCCGTTCATTTACATAAACCTGGAGAGATTACCAACCGATTCAGGTACGGGGTTTATTAAATATTCATCCGATGGTACTGTAAAGTTATACAGTGCTTTGATGTCTCCCCCCCTTTTGTTTTTTGAATGAGTCAACGAAAAAAATTGCAACTTAGAGTAATGAGCACGGTAATGAGATTGATGCATGAATAATATATTCTGGAGTAAAATTGACAGATGAAAATTTCAAGATGGCGACTGGGCGCCATCTGAAAAAAAAAAATTAAATGGAAAGGGAGTCTTGTGATACATCTTCTTGAAGCTCCTGACGAATACTTCACAACCCTAGAATATGAAGTCAATATCTTCACCTACTACAAAATGACGGAACATTTAATAGTTGCCTGAATACACACACATCAATATGAATATTGTATACCAACAAGATGAAGCACCACCATATCACTCCAGACAAGTTAGTAACGTTTGGATAATACTTTCTTTGGTCGTTGGATTGACCGTCGAGGTCCTACCACTGAACTATACCCTTACGTAATGGCCAGCCCTCTCGCCAGATTTGACACCATTAGAGCTTTTTTTATGGGTCTATTTGAAGCATCTGCTTCAATATTGGATATACGACAGAATGATAAATATTTGTAGAAATATCGACTTATAACTTTGTTCGAAAGTGTTCGGCGTGAAATATCGGATAGGCTTTTTCTGTCAAGAAGTTCTAGGGTGTGAAGTATTCATCAGAAGCTTCAAGAAAATGTATCACAAGACACCCCTTCCCATTTTTTTTTGCCAAGTCACCATCTTGAAATTTTCGTCTGTCAATTTTACTCCAGAATATAGAATTCATGCATCAATTTCATTACCCCAGGTTTCAATTTTTTTCGTTGACCCGTTCAAAAAATAAAGGGGGGACATTGATGAAAAGCACTGTAGAAATATCAAGTCAGAAGGGCACTCAGCCAGACAAGTTCTAGCTCAGCAAAAATGTGTAGACAAGGGATGGAAATCGCAAATTCCATTTCATTATTGTCATCAACTTTTGGTATCATGGAAAGTACTTTGTCCCTATTAATAGGAACCAACCCCAGCCTTGCAAAATCCAGCAATTATATTTTTGTCTGCATTGGGCTCTATTTCCTCAATCAGTTTTAATAGGAGCCGAGGGAAAATACTTTTGGGGATTGATGCTTCTTTCATTCCTGGACCCTGTTTCCAATCTCGCAAAATTTTACGCCAGGCAACCTTCAAAGGTCTAAAGCATTGTATGTCAAGCGGTTGGGTTATGTGTGTCGAGAAAAACGAACCTTATATTATGAGCAATACAAAGAGAAATGATTTTCTTCTAATAAGTGAGACGACAGATTGCCACCAGAAACTGTTTCGCCATCTAGTTTTTTCAGATATGGAATCGCCACGGTTTTTAACCAATCTGTAAAAGTTACATTGTCAAACCAACCACTAACCGTAGCATTATACCTTGTATATTTCGGACCCCCTTCAATCCAAGTGGAATAAATATTTTTTGCTTTATAAACAACATAGCAAGGCAATAATTTTTCATCACCTGTTGCTGCAAACATTATTGGAACTGCTGATTTTGTCCGATTCATAACTCTCTCGTGGTATTTACATCCCCGTTTTGCAATAATTTTATTTCTACCTTGATCGTTACTTAAATCAGTCCCATCGTAATTTATTATGTTACTTGCTGCTGGAACGTTTTCTAAAGACTCTTCCAAAGTTGTGTTTTATTAATCCGATTCCGCCACCGGAATCACTTTGATGTGTCGTTTAATTTGCAACTTTTCCGATTCCGGTTGCTACTTTTCATTCCGTCTCACTACAAGGAATGACGTGAATGACTGTTGACAGTTGTCAAAATATTATATTAGATTGACGAAAAACGAAACATTTTGAAAATAGAAGACATTCAGCAGACATTGTTATTTGTTATCGTGAAGTTCACAAGTTTACGATTCCTTCAAGTGAGACAGGTTTCATTTGTTCATTCCCAGATAAAATTAATTCTCTCGATCTATCTAAGTTTCTCCAATCACCACTTTCAATGCTCCAAATATTTGTTGATTGATTTTTCCAGATTCTTAACTCTAGTATCATGATTTCAAAATTATTTGTAGCCCCAGTATATAAATATAACCTCTCATGTGATTTCTCCCATGCGAGGTCATGAAGTTTCTCGTTTTATTTGTAAACGTCATTCTGTTCCCACCACCGCTACCAGAATGAAACAAATAAAACGCAACTCAAAGTTATATATGTTGTTTTTAGTTTTTATGGCTTAGCGGTGGGACTCTGTAACTCAAAGCGAAAGCAAAAGCATGCGTAACCGAATGCTATCGCTTTTTTGGTACTCTGTATCGATATTCGGATTAGATCGGTAATGCCGAAGTTGTATTCGGAAGCAAAGCAAAAGCGACAAGATTTCGGCGGCGTGATCTGCGCGATTGTGCTTTTATCTCTTTCCTTTCAGTTGGTGTTTCACAATTTCGTCAATATTCTTGTTGAGGTTTGAGGTTAGATCGCATTAGATTGTTTATTTTGTTTGAATTCATAGTCTCTCGCTCAAATTTTATATTCAGTTTATCACTTTATCAGTATTATGAATAAGCAATTGAAAACAAATCCCTGCCAATGGAGTCGGTTTTTAGATTTTGCTGAGAAGAATCCTGTGGTTCTGACGAAAAAAATGGAAGGCCCCTTTGGTAGGGAGAAGTACAACAAGTTGTGGACTGAACTGACCAGCTCTTTAAATAGTATGGGGTATATAGTGAAAACCACCGAGAAGTGGCAAAAAGTGAGTATAATCCTTCAGAATTGAAAGGATAGATAGTATTTTATGATTTTTCTACTCAAATCTGTGGCCCCTTCACTCAATCATTAATTGTTGAAGGCTGTGGCTGACTGGAAGGGGAAAGTCAGGACAAAAGCAGCTGAAATAAAAATTGAGCTGAAGAAAACAGGTGGAGGAAGTCCAGCAGGAAAACAACTTTCTGAAACTGAAAAGAGGTTGATAGGAATCATGGGATGGACATCAATAAGGGGAGACGGAACTCTCGAGCTTGGATGCCCCTCAACCAGTACTGTGAGTAAAGTTCACAGTAATCTCTTGTTTGAAATGTTGAAGGTACACATTGGTCTGAAGTGAAATTTTCAACTATTTTTTTTTTAGATTCCTGAACAAATCCCAGAAACTCAGATAGAGTTTGAACACAATTATGACTTTAAAACAATGCCTCCGTCTCAAAGGAATGTATATATCCCACCACCACCATTAATTGGTATATCATCATCATCTTACATTAATATGGATAAATCTATAGTGTCTGAGACAGCTAAATATGGACCCAACTCCACCTCAACACCACAACATTCTCCTGTGGATAACGAAAATATACCTATGCCTGTGGAAGTGAAGAATAGCAGAAAACGTAAACTGCCTATTAAAAAAAAAACTTTCATTTCACAGAAGCGTTCTAACACTGTCAATTTAGAAAATATGCATAATGAAACACTAGGCATATTAGGAGAAATAAATTCAAACTTGAAAAGACTGGGTGATTCTCAAGAGGAACTATGTGGAATCCATAATAAAATTTTAGATGTCCTATTGCATACTAAATGAATATATCAAAATATATTCATTTCATATTAGTAAATATGTTGAATGACAGATAGAGAAGTGGAACCATTTTTCTATTGAATTTTGTTTGTTAACTAATTTTTTGTACAACTGTCAAAAATCTTGCATCTCTGCACCAACCTTATATTTTCAACTATGATAGTAAATACTGTCTGTAAATTATTTGGAATTTTCTCCTCGTTTCTATAAATAAAATTATGGGTAGGCATTATTATTTATAGAAATGAGTAGAAAATCCCAAATAATCTACAGATATGATGAGTAATAAGAGTTTGAATAATTTCAATTTAAAAGCAAGAACCTTTTCCACCTTGCTGCTGATTAGAAATACAATCGAGAATGAAATGCTTTTTTGTTACTAACACCAACACACTGTCCTTTATATTTCTTTCTGCTATGGTTGCAGATTTTCAGACAGTTGTACAAAGAATGTTTTGTAAATGATACTAACCATTGTGATGAATGTACCTTTTTCATGATAAGATTTTGTTTGCCTCTTGTTAAGATTTTCACTATTTATTGTGGAAACTAATTTTGTGATGAAAGTACCTTTATTTTATTAATGAGAAAAACTGTTTTTTTTCTTATGAAATCATATATTTTTATTTTTTTTATTTTTATGTTCAAATTGGGAATGATTCTGTTTTTGTGAATATAATTTATTGATCAAAGTTCTCTTACTATGAACTTTGTGAAACAGAATGTTCATCTACTCTTAATAAATGTTTTTGTTTTCTTAATATATGTACAGTGTGGTCATTTGAATGTGCAACATAATATGTTGCACACTCAATATTATGGGAATTTTCTTAATTAATTGCACAATCAAAATACAAATATGTATTGCCAAAGCATATTTGATATTCATATTAAGCTCACTCATAATGGTTGCAGGTTAAACAGCATACAGAGTAGGTCAAAAAATATAAAAGTGTACAAGAGTAAAGTACTCTTATTTTAAAAAATTGAGCAAAATGTTATTGAGAAGTGTTATTTAGTATTGAAAGTTATGCCTAAATAACAAAACATGACCACCTACATTTTTTAAAATTTTATCTAAGCAACTTTCTTAACATTTCACTGAATTTTCTGAAATAACTGAGTACTGTACAATTTTTATATTTTTTGACCTACTCTGTATGCTGTTCGACTTGTAACCATTCTATGTACCTAATATGATTATTGAACATGCACTAACTTTTGCCAATATTTGTATGTTGGTTGTGCAATTAATTAGCAAAACTCCCATATGTTGCACACATAAATGACCACACTGTATAATATAAATAGGTTTGACATTTTCTAGTTCTTTCTGGGCACCATATTATATTGTTGTTCCAGTGGTTTTTTA